TTAGTGATGTGTCCATTTTTCGCTGTACTAGTTTTCATTATTGTTTAGGGGGTAGTTGAAGCCCGCTTCAAAATCCGGTTGCGGGATTTTCTCGCTGTGTTGAAGACCATTGGTGTCCTTGGGCTGTTTTCTGCTCTTTGGTCAGGTTGCTGTCTCTTTGACACATTTCCCGTTTACATTCTTATTTTTATTACTTTAGGTTATCGCTCTTATGTTCCTAATTAGTATGTCAAATATAAAATAGGGTTATGATATTATTATAATATATAACACCACACAAAACAAAATTGAGGGTTCATTTTCCGATACAGTTGTAGTTTTTGCTGGTCTAAACCAAAATTTAATCTGAAAAAGAATGTTATTTTATCATGTAATGGATAAAAGAGTAATACTCCAGTCGGACAGCAAACATTGACTTTAAGAGCTTGTCAGATTGATACAAACTGTATGCTGCTCTCCGGAGTTTTTGACTATGTTTGTCGTTGGGTTACTGTATCATAGACGTATATTCATCATCTCCATTTATGCAGGAGACATGTGCGTTTGACTCCCATCTTTTTTTACTAGGATTGCTAGTTTTCCTGCCGATGGTTCCGCGGAGGTTCTCTTCGGGCACTACGGCTTCTTTCATCAATACACATTTCTCCACCACAAAATAGCCAACTGTGCAGAAATATGGCTTTGTAAAACAAACTTCACTCAATCAATCCGTGTACGTGTAGTTATAACGAATACATTTCTTTTGATAAGGGTGTTGTTTGCACGACTTTTTTTATTCTTTAGATTTTTTACTATCTCTTTGGTATTTTCTGGTTTATAAAAAAATATCCTTGGAACTTATCGTTGCATGTTTTGAACATTATATTGATAAGATTCCTCAAAAATGAAATAGTTTGAAAATATTTTACTGTTTGAAGAAAAGATATATGTTATTTTTATCCCCCAATCTATGCACACTATAAAAAAAAGTCCGGTTGATATAAAAATAAGAAGATGTGGTATGATTGCCAATGAGACAGCTCTCCACAAAAGACCAAATTATTAGGAATTAAAAACTATAGGTCACTGTTCGGCCGCAGCTCAGCAATGAACAAAACCAACACCGCATGGTCAGCTGTAAAGGGCCCCGAAATGACAAATGTAAACAATTCAAACGAGAAAAACTAAAGGCCTGATATTTTATATTTTAATGAATGTAACCTTTCCCATTTAACTTTTCATAAAATCATTCTCTTTAAATATTTTTTTCTTTTTAAACTAAGGCGAAGTATACGTAATTACATGCGTCTAGCGGAATTTGGGATAACAAAAATGCGTCGTTAATTACGCAAGTTATCTCCCCTACTCCAAGAAAGGAAAAAATGGGCACAAGAAAGAGAAATGACTTCTTGCGGTCTATCATGAATCCAAACAAGTATTCTTGTGCTATCTCAAATCTTCAAAAAAAATATCAGAATGACTCCAAACAGAAATCTGAGTATCCTATTGTGAGTTAGTCTGAGTCTATTACCACTGTTTTTGTTTTAGACATGCAGGAGTGGGTACAAACTACTGAGACAAAATACGACTCGTGAGTTGTTGTGTTTATTTCAACAAAAGGTAAAAAATCCTAAACAACAAAATTATAACCAAATAAAACAGTGACAATTCTGCTTCTTGTTCAATTCTGCTTCTTGTTTAATTCTGCTTCAAACTCGTTGAAATCAAACCAAAATTGACCCAACAATATTTTTTGAAAAACAACAGTTTCGAATGACATTCACAGTGTAGCGTAAAATTGTAGGTAACGAATAATTATATTGCATGTGAATTTGTGTTTTGAACTAGAAAGACGTTGGCATGTCCCATTTTTTATGCAATTGAAAATTTTAGGATGATTTATATTTACGTGAAAAGTATAAAAGATACTAAGGGGTAATCGACCGCTAGTGCAACATTTATAGCATGTATAAGCCGAAGAACAAAGCGAACAGCAAAAAAAAAAAAAAAAAAAAAACCATCAGATTCGTCCACAAAACATTACACAGAAACTAAGAATTGAAAACTAGCACGGTTGCTAAGGACTTTCTTTGCACCAATGGATTCGTCATTTATTTTTGAATCGCATTTCGATTTTTTTGATATTCTGTGGACCAACGAATTAAAAAATCTTGATTAAGTAAAAATATCTGCCGATTTTTATGATTTTCCCTATATATCGTTTGTATTTTTGGCGTATCATGCTGTTAATTTTAACAGCTTGTATCTGAAAAACGAAAACGGTTACCCCCTTTTTTATTTTATTTTCTGATGTATTTTTACAAGCAGAATACACATGTAAAAGTCAATTAACCGTACTCCAAAACTAATTAACCGTGTTTGATAGATTATTCATAACTATGTTTATTTGGTTGAGTGTCCTTAAGCACTTGTCCTTGGTGACTCCTGCATTCGAACAACTATTATAATATTAGTTCATCTGCATCAGCGACAAGGAGGACTTTATTTCATCATGGATATGATGCTACTTCTTGTGCTTGTTTAACAATGAACATTATGGTTTATGTTGTTATATTATTAATCCATGGTATATTCCATGTTAAAGCTGTTATTCTTTAGAATTAACTATATTGTAAATTTTGATGTGTTAATCATTTTACTGATTTTGCCCACAATGGGTGCTCTATTGGACATACGATATTCTTATCTATCTATAGATATGCACACTTGTACCATTATTGTCATCTCATTTTTCTTTTTTTAAATCATCATATTCGAATTTCACCAGTTCTCTCGGACATCGAGTGTATAAGTATGGGACATATTTCACAAGTATTAAGAGTTACATGACTGTACATATTAATATAAAAATGAGGAGATGTGGTATGAATGCCAGTAAGACAACTATCAACCAGAGTTAAAATGAAGTGTAGTAAGCAATTACAGGCCACTGTATGGTCTTTAACAATGTGCAAAACCCATACCGTATAATTAATATATAGCAAAGCAATTTACGAAAATACGACACATATGAATCAACACTACAGGTTCCTGGATTTGGACATGCAAATAAAGAATGTGGCAGGTTAAACATGGTTGTGCTGACCTAGGACTGTGGTTGAATAGCACAACATAAAAACACAGTATATATATATCAGTTGAAACGGTTTAACTCAAAAGATCAGTACGAAGCACAAAAAAAAACACTGACATAAAAACAATAGACACGAAGCATCGAAACACGTATACTCGCAGATACTGAAAGTTAGTTCAAAAAAAATTACAACTAATAAATAAATCATGTTCCCTTACGCTAAAGTTTTAATCAGTACACATCCAACGAATTTAGTGTCAAGACGTCATAAACTGCCTATATAAGTTTATTCAAATGACCAATTAGTTTACATGGATCGTGTCTAAGTTTACGGTCGGCTTAAACATCATCACTGTACAAATTAGTATCTGCGATTTCTACAGGTACAGCCAAACTTTCTATTACAATCTGCGTGTCTGTGACAGAATTTGGTAAAGATTTTTATTAATTTGTGGTAACGAAATTCTTGATGGTGTTTTGAATATGATCGTTCCTAATAAAGATAAATACACAAAAGGCCCCAAATATATAAAGTGTTCTTCCTCATTTTCAAAGTTGAACTAGTTCCTGTCAAATCTGCCCTGGTTTTCTGTGTTGTTAGGTTCATGTATTTATAGATATATGAAGATGTGGTATGAGTGTCAATGAGACAACTCTCCATCCAAGTCAAAATTTATAAAAGTAAACCATTATAGGTCAAAGTACGGTCTTCAACACGGAGCCTTGGCTCACACCGAACAGGGCCCCAAAAATTACTAGTGTATAACCATTCAAACGGGAAAACCAACGGTCTAATCTATATAAAAAACGAGAAACGAGAAACATTTATGAACCACATCAACGAACGACAACTACTGAAGATCAGATTCCTGACTTAGGACAGGTGCAAACAATTGCAGCGTGTTTAAATGTTTTAATAGTACCAAACCTTCACCCTTATCTGAAACAATAGTGTAACATCACAACATAGAAAAACACACTATAAAATATCAATTGAAATGGCTGAACTCAATCAAAAGACATATTAACACCAGTAAACATACATGCTCGTTTTCGTCATATTAATTATATGTTACGAACTTAATGTACTGCTATTTCGGAGGATACAACAAATAGTCTTTTAACAAACCTATATGAAATAAGGAATTCTATATTGTTAATATCTACTAATAAAATACGTTAACTATAGAGAAATAAGCATAAAGTTAAATCACAAAAATACTGAATTCCGAGGAAAATTCAAAACGGAAAGTCCCTAATCAAATGGCAAAATCAAAAGCACAAACACATCAAACGAATGGACAATCTTACCATCTTGGGAAACTTTGCAAGTGTAAAATACTAGTACATAGTTTTGAGTAGCCGGCTATGTTTGGATAAGTATCGACAGTATCTTGACCCGTAATGTCAAAAGTATTGACACTTATGATAGCCATGTCATTCTTAAGTTTTAATAACGAAGATCGTTTAGTTTATTCATATTTTCCCCTCATGGTATTTATTTAGATTAATGGTCAAATTATATTGAATTTATATTAGTATCATAAAAAAGAAAAATTCAAATCTAAGATTTAAAAGCAGACACGTTAAAAATATTCACAATCAATATTGTACAAGTTTCATAACATTTGGTTGCAGCAAACTGAGTTAATAGAAAATGGAAACCACAAATTAATTTTTTTTCCATCTATAAAAGGACATAACTAAAAAAAGAAAAAGTGATGCTACCCCAATTCTAACTTGATCTGTGTTTCTGGTAATAAGCATTGTGTTTAAGTTTTATAAATAACATTTAAAGTTAAGGCAAACTATATTGATGATCATTTAATATAGGGGAAACAAGATTGAACTGATAAAAGTTATAATTTTCAGTTATTACAGTTGAGTATATGTTTATGTTGTTCTGATGAGTCCAGTCCTTTTTACTGTAAATTCAGAAATTATTGCGATGTTTTTATTATTGCGAAAAATGCGACAGGGTTATAATTGCAATAATTTAAACTCGCATTTTGAAATTTTTTATATGAATTAAACAGGATTTTTCTCAATATAGCAAAAATTAAAATCGCATTTTAGTCTAAAATGACAAAATCGCAATAATAAATGCACGCAATAATTTCTTAATTTACAGCATTGTACAGTAATACCTTACTTCAGTAAACTTTGTGACTTAGGATATGGGTTCAGTACTAACTGTCATGTTAAACCCTTCTTCATTTTGTTATTTACAAAAATATATAATTTAACAGCTAGTGATCAACAAATTAAATCATTACCTCTACAGGTATTTCAACTATATCCTGTAATTCCTGAACATCAGACTGGATTTCCACTAATCTTTGTCTTTCTTTACAACGAAGTATTTCTGGTATGGGCCAGTCAACTGTAGTTTGATTATCATCATTAGCTGAATAACATACATATGATTATCAAACTGGGTTTATTTCTTTATAAGTAATAAACACAACAATTTAAGTATTTGAACTTGATAAGGAGATAACTGTCATTTATATTAAGCGCCTACCACATAAATTGGTGATTTGATGGTTGTAATTTGAGTTTACTGGCAACATGATACCTTTAAAAATCTGTGGAGTTATCCTATCAAATGAATGTTACAAACTATGTTGCATTAGAATTATATTTGTAAGTTGGTGAATTTCAAACTTGCATTAAGGATGTACACCTCTGAGGAGCCAAAAATTTCTAGAATTAAACTTTTTTTCTTAACCTGATTTTTGGGTTTATATGACTGTAAAAAAGTGATTGGTGAAGAAAAAATCATATGGTGGTGCACTTCTTTTTTTGCTACGGCCCTATGAAAGTACCCAATTTTGATGATTTCCCCATTATTCATCAATTTTTACCTATTTTTGGGCTATTATCATGAAAAAAATCACAATTACACAATTCAACTTTTTTTCATACTTACAATAAAGATGAAGTGAACCAATCTGAATAAATTTAACTTAAAAAACTATAGGTAGGTGTTAATATAAGAAAGTTTTATCATATTTTTATGCTTTTTTGTGTCAAATTTTCCATGCTGACAATTTTGTAAATTTGTAATTTTTCTCCGTTTTAAGAACAAAATGTATATTTTTTCAACTTGTTAAATGTTATAAATGTTTGAAAAAATACATATCTAAGAATTTTGAAAAGAAAAAAGTGATATGGGATGTATATGTTCCTGGTAAAGTTATTTTGTACCTCTCACCCATTTTCTCAAAATTTTGGCTAAAAAGACTGACTTGATTAGTAAAAAAAATTGAAAAAATGAATACTCAAAAACTAATCATTGTAAATACACAATTTTTTCACAGAGTTAAGTTTGATTATAACATTTGTTGAATTCGTTGATATTTTCCACTTGTATCACATGTTTTGGAAATAATTCCAGAACGAGATTTCAATGAGACTGAAACGTCAGAAGAATACATCCTTAAATTCCAAGTTGTGTTCATGCTATCAGTGCAATTGGTTTTAAAATGTGCAAATTATTCCTAAGTATGAAAGGTGCGGGGTAAATTTTATTATATTCTGCTATCCAAAGAGTTTAAATCTATATTACCTTTTGACTTTGCTAAAAACTGTCTCCACCAAGCAATGTCATCTTCATTTGTTAAAAAACGCTTGTCAATGCATTTTTTTATTGAGTCCTCAACTTTTCCTAAATCTACCAAGTCCAATGTTGGCTTTAAAAGGGATGGTGTGTCCGTTGGAGATGATTTTAAAAGGGCATTCTCTGCTGTTGCATCTGTCCAATCCTTTAAATTATAATGAATTGATTTACTTTGACTTGAAATCTTATAAATAAGCATATAACTTAAGAGAGAAAAAATAGGTAACTGTTATGTAGTTCCTGAGACAAATGCGAAAAATTTCAACTTGGCTATAAATATGTGTACAAAATGTAAGTGTTTGGTTAACAGGAAGTTGTACAGATCTGAATCTGAAAATGTATTACACAATACATAGCTTACTCATATAAACTATGATACCAAATTTCAAAAAGCCCTGATATGTAGTTCCTGAGAAAAATGCAACGAAAGTTTTCAACTTTGTTATTATGTCTAAAAATGTGTTCTGTACTAACAGGAAGTTGTTGCATGATGAATCTGAAACATATCACAAGGTTCAGCATTTACATAAACCTTGATAAAAAAATTCAACACACCAAATGTCAGTCTTCACGCTGAGTGGCAGCCCAGGCAGCCCAGGCTTGTAATATTGCTCTCGGGCCTGTAAAAATCATATCTACAAGCCAACAGAATCTAACTAAAAATTTTCAAAAATTGAGCTCCGAGCCTGTAGATTTAGCAGTTCATCGTGAAGACTGAAATGTAATGTAGTTCATGAGAAAAATGTGACGAAAATTTTCAACTTGTCTATCATTGGAGTGTTTGGTAAACAGGAAGTTGTTGAGTGATGAATTTGAAAAAAATATATCACAAGGTACAGCGCATTTACATAAACCTTGATAAAAGATTTCAAAAAGCCAACTTGTAAATAAGAAAAACGCAATGAAATATTAAAAGAATATATAGACAGACAGACTGACTGACAGACAGACAAACAGACAGAGGTAAAACAGTATACCCCATTTTAAAAAGCAGGGTATAATGATAGTGCAAAAAAGCATGTTGTCATGAAGACACATGTATTATTCTTAAATCATTTACATATGTTAACATTTACCGTGTCTGTAGACCAATTTTTGAAGTAAAGTTTGGTTTTTCCATCTTTGTCTTTATTAATCTTAAAGCAGTGTGGCTTGGAATGCCCCTCAATTTTGTCTATATGTTTTTCTAACCAATTTGTAAAATTGAAAACATGGTCAAGTTGAATTGATAAAGGGTGTGGATTGTAACAGCTTTCAAATGCCTTTAGAAGTTGGTCCATGGTCATAGTTGAATACTTGGATAACCAGACAGAAAATCTAAAAATATATAAATATAATTCTTATAGGATTTGCATATCAACAAATACTTGAATGTGATTGGTCCGTTAGAGTTTCTTTCCAAGGTTTACACTTTGATAAACCATGTTGCTAAACCACTTACTTTGCCTTATAATGGAAACATAACGTTGACAAGTATTCATGCGCAACAAATAAAGGAATTCGGGGCTGTTAAGAAAGTTAAAATAAAAAGAAATAATAAATAATGTTCAGATAAAGAATTATAAGGATTAAACACATTTTTCTAGAGTTTATTGATGTGTCAACTGGGTCGCTTACTCACAAACTTAACATAAAAGTCCTTCTATACAGTTTGTGAGTTAACTGACTGAGTTTATGTAAATGCTTTTTTGTTCCGACGTTGGAAAGTTCCGGGCGGAAAGAACTAACTAGCCGAAAAGTTCCGGAGGAACTTATTAACTAGTTACTTTGTTCTTCCTCTGGTTTAAAAGTTCCACCGAAACAAAGTGACTAGTTGAAAAGTTCCAACGGAACATATCAACTAGTTAGAAAGTTCCTTTTTGCCAAATTAGTCAAAACCGGAACTAACAAACTAGCCCAAAAGTTCCAACGGAACTTATCAACCAGGCAGAAAGTTCCATTTGGAGAATTGATGCAAAGTAAAAGCGCAACATATTATATTTGAACCTTTCAAAGGGAAACCAAGATACTGAATATACCATATTTCGTCCTTTTTGTAGAAAGAGGGGGAAGAATGAGTATCAGTATATATAAGAGCAAATCATTAATTTACAAGAATACCCAAATGCACTGAAAGGGGTTTCTTTGGGGACAAATATGCAAAATTTAAGTTGTATTTCATTCAGAAATTTTTTGTGGTCCGTATATTGGTATCACGTTGTCGTCGTCGTCCGAAGACATTTGGTTTTCGCACAATTACTTTAGTATAAGTAAATAGAAATCTATGAAATTTAAACACAAGGTTTATGACCACAAAAGGAAGGTTGGGATTGATTTTGGGAGTTTTGGTTCCAACAGTTAAGGAATTAGGGGCCAAAAAAGGGCCCAAAGAAGCATTTTTCTTGGTTTTCGCACAATTACTTTAGTATAAGTAAATAGAAATCTATGAAATTTAAACACAAGGTTTATGACCACAAAAGGAAGGTTGGGATTGATTTTGGTAGTTTTGGTCCCAACAGTTTAGGAATTAGGGGCCCAAAGGGTCCAAAATTAAACTTTGTTTGATTTCATCAAAAAATGATTTATTGGGGTTCTTTGATATGCCGAATCTAACCGTGTATTTAGATTCTTAGTTTTTGGTCACATTTTCAAATTGGTCTACATTAAGGTCCAAAGGGTCCAAAATTAAACTTAGTTTGATTTTAACAAAAATTGAATTCTTGGGGTTCTTTGATATGCCGAATCTAAACCTGTACTTATATTTTTTATTATGGGCCCAGTTTTCAAGTTGGTCAAAATCGGGGTCCAAAATTAAACTTTGTTTGATTTCAACAAAAATTGAATCCTTGGGGTTCTTTGATATGCTGAATCTAAACATGTATTTAGATTTTTGATTATAGGCCCAGTTTTCAAGTTGGTCCAAATCAGGGTCCAAAATTAAACTTGATTGATCTCAACAAAAATTGAATATATGGGGTTCTTTGATATATGCTGAATCTAACCATGTATGTAGATTTTTGATATTGGGGCCCGGTTATCAAATTGGTCCACATTGAGGTCTAAAGGGTCCAAAATTGAACTTTATTTGATTTCATCAAAAATTGAATTCTTAGGGTTCTGAATCTAACCATGTATTTAAATTTTGGATATTGGGACCATAAAAGGTAAATGTCCAATTTAAAATTTTTAAGTTTTTAAGTTTAAGTTCTTAGAATGCTTGAATGTTGTGTCCATACTTGCCCCAACAGTTCAGGGTTCGACCTCTGCGGTCGTATAAAGCTGCGCCCTGCGGAGCATCTGTTTTTTTTTGGTAAAGCAAAAACTTTATTTTATTTGTGGTGTGTGTAAGATTAAATCATTTATAAATTTTAACTGTTTTGTATTTAAAGCATTGGCCTTTGTAAAATGTCTGTTTTACTGTCGCAAATTGGTGTTACCCAGCAACACATAGCGCAGCCAGTAAACAGATATTTGTGACAGTTAAATCAAATTTCGTTTAGGACAATTTTCAAATAATTATACAATCATAATCTCTTTTCTAATGCTAGTTAAAAAAAAGCGGTCCATTTCAGCCATTACTACATCAGAAAATCTGCAAAATGATGTTATTGTCTTGGCAACTAAACAAAATGATATCATTTGTATGCTTTCAAATTGGTCTTCGGCTGTTGTCTGCTCTATGGTCGGGTTGTTGTCTCTTTGACACATTCCCCATTTTCATCTCAATTTTATTTCAGTGTTAAATGTAAGCACGAGGCAATTTCAGGCTTCAAGTACGCCTCAGAATGTAATAAAACTAGTTGAAAATAACATTTTAAGGCAATTGTAGGTGATTTTTTTTTTTCATTTATTTATAATTGTAGAAATAACATGTCAAAACACTCCAGAATATAAAATGTTGGCTAACTTTAGTTACAGAAAAGAAAAGTTCATGCTTGTTGTGATCCAATCAGAACTATTGATAATGATTGCATACAAATTCAATATCATTAATTGAACATACCTAAATGATATAAATTTACCTTGAAAAAACTTGGTCGATATCTTCATGTGTATGACCAACCATCAAAAAGCTTATTTTCACTTTTTTAAATAACCCTATATCCACAAGCCATGTAAAAAATGCAAGCACATACCTGAAAATAAAAGTTAAATAAATTATGCCAAAAAATTCAACTGAATATTCAAAAGTAGTTTTACTTAAAATTTGCATTTATAATTAATTCAATACTTATACTTAATTTAGGCCAATTAAAATTAATTGATAGATTTTCATCCCCGCCCGCCCCTCTGAAATCGTTCCGCCCCAATTTTTTTTATTTTGAAAAATTTAGGATTTCCTGATTTTGTTCATTTTCGTTACCGGTAACTTTCGATAATTTCGTTTCATTAATAACTTCCTGTTTCAAATTTTGGTTTTTGCATTTCTTTTTATGTTTGATTCGTTATACATGTATATACACGATAGAACCTTATTATTACACTTGCATATATGAAGAACACGTCACAAGAGCGTTTCATATCTAATAAAAAATAAAAAATAAAATCCTCCCACCCACCCCATTTTTTTCAAAAATTTGGATGAAAATCTACTAATTAAATTTACTTGACCTTATTTATTTATTTTTTTTTTGGGGGGGGGGGGGGGGGGGGGGGGGGGGGAATATTAAAAGGTTTCATAACGAGTGAGAATAAGATATTTACATAATAGTTATTGAAAAACTGGTCATTATCATGATATATGGACTGCCCACAGGACAGTGGTATTGACTAAGACAGTGAAAATGACTGAGCTGTAGGCGAGGTCATTATCGCTGTCGCAGTCAATACCACTGTCCTACGGGCATTCCATGTATCACGATAATGACCAGTTCTTTAATAACTATTATGTTTATTTCATTGAGGAACCATGTTTTTACAAATTCTCATAAATTTAAAATGTTCAAAGCAAACTCGAGTTATTGTACGATTTCTATGGTAAAGAGTGAAGACCAGTCATAGTAATACATGTAGCTATAAGTCACTGCCATTCATTTAAGCGCAATTTTTCAGTATATGAATACTATAAATAAAGTATTTTAAAGTATAAAATATGAAAACATATGGTAAACAATTCAACAACTTAAATATAAAATTGAAAACAGGACATTTTTTTATTCAAGGGACATCTCTCTTAACAGAGAAACCATGTCCCACCGGTCATTAACAGAGAAACCACGCCCTACCGGTCATTAACAGAGAAACCACGCCCCATGGGTCATTATACAATTATAGCCTTTGTATGAGATCGATACAAGGATATGTTGACCTGAAAGAAGTATATTGACTGAGGACGAAGTCTGAGGTTGATATACTTCTTTGGGTCGATATATCCTGTATTGACCTCATACAAAGGCTATAATTGTTATATCATTAATTTCCGACCATATTTGTATCAAAATCGTCAGTGCAATATATTCGATCATTTGATTTTGTTGGAATTTTGTAGATATCATATTGTCTCCTAGACAATAACGACTTATTAGATGTTATTTTAATTATTTTTTATGTTATTTTTTTGTACATCTTATGTATTTGAAGATTTTTTTCTTCAAATAATCGATCAGAAATATAATTTTTTTTTAAACTTTTAACAATATTATGAAATTCATTACATGACGTCACAAAGTATATAGGTTTTTAGATGTTCTAAAAATAACCGTGCAATATGCTTTTTGCTATCCGCCGCTTTCTATCTACCTTCGAGAATATAGTTTAGCATGTGACTATTCCTGAACGAATCAAATTAGTTAAATTATATGAATTAATAATATTAACATGTACAAGTCCATTAACGACCGGTTTTCTGGTCCGTTTTGTTCTGTTAATGACCGATGGAATTTATTACTGAAGAATAAAGAATGTCATGTGGCCCCTTTTTATCCAATAAGAGAAGCTAATTCTTAACCGATATGAAATAACACTTGATATCAACTCTAGTTATCGAACCAGTCACAAGTTGTTTTCTTTTTTTTCACAAAAACTTTTTTTCCTCAATTTTTTTCTCAAATTTTTTTTCCATTTCCTAATTCAGTTTCTATTTCCTTATTTGAGTTTCATTTCCTTATTTAGTTTCTATTTCCTTATTCGGTTTCGTTTTCCTTATTCGGTTTCTATTTCCTTATCAGTTCCAATTTCCTTATCAGTTCTTCATATCCTTTGGTTTCTTTTTCCTTATTGGATTTTCATTTCCTTATTCGAATTCCATTTCCAAATTGGAATTCCATTTCCAAATTCGATATTCAGAATTCAAATATATGCAAAGTCCAAAATAAAAAAACAATTTCATCTAAACTTTTGCTCAAAATGTTTTCCCTTAAATTTTTTTTTCTTTGATTTTTTTTTCAATTTCTTTACTCGATTTCTATTTCCTGATTGGATTTTCATTTCCTTATTCGGTTTATATTTCCTTATTCAATTTTCATTTCCTTATTCTGTTTCTTTTTGCTTATTCAATATTGATTCAGTTTGGATTTAAAATATTTTTTCAAAATTTGAATATCGAAAAAAGGAAAAAGGAAATAACTTGTGTCTGGTAGTTATTTAATATCAATATAATAATAAACGAGCCTGTGACAAGTTATTATTACTATTCAAATTAAATATAGAGTGTTGATATCTAACTTCTTCTTTGAGTTTTAAAATTATACTGAACTTGTACCACTTCTATTACATTATAAAAAAATGTAACTAGCCTGTAATTATAAATTCAGAAAAGTAATGTAATTGTACTTGAACAAGCTTCTAAGATACAACCAGAATTATTAACAATTTTTTGTGTATGTATATTTTTGCAGTTATGAAAGATCTAGTATTTCAATGTGTGCTCTTTAAGGTAGATCATAAGTATATACTTTTTGAGATAGAATTTTCTTATACTTTGCCAAAAGGAAGATTTTACTATGCTTTTTTCAAAAATATAATAAAAAGTATGGGTCACCGTGCTATTTTGCAAGCTATGAGTCGTTGAAAATTGCCTAAATTTGGTTAGATTGTTCATGAAAAAACACATTTGTGTGCATAAAAAAAATTCTATGAGATAGAATTTTGAAATAAATTGTAAGAAGATAGGTTTTATAATATGTTTAAAAAAAAAAAAAGAAAAAATGGTGTCACCGAACTTGTTTTCTTGCTACAAGTAAAAATTAAAAATTTCCCTATCAGTCCAGTATATAGTTTTTACTAAAAGAGTTATCTCCCCTTAAATGGGTTATTTGAAAAAAATGATTCTAAAAACACAAAATTTGATATTTGTTTAAATATTTTGAATAATACAATAAATCACCAAGTTTTCTTTATATAAATAAACAATCTAACCATTAAATTGCAAATCTGTCTCCAAATTTGCAGATTTGGGCAAATAACTAGACCAATTTTGTACTGAGATTATACTATCCAAGATGGCGGCATACCATGAATCTACCTTAAGTGACTTACCAGGCACTATTGATAAAGCTTTTGTCAAAGTAAAAGTTGGAATAAAACTCTTATTTTTCATTTTACCCTGTACAACTTACCGGTTTTTATTCTCTCTTGCACAATTGTCCATTTGTAGGTATAAAACGTCTGGAATTGAATCCTTTAAAAGAAAAAATACATTAACCAGGATTGTTAAAGTTAAATTGGTAGAATGTGGCCATTGAAATTGGTCAAAAAAGCCATAAACCCCTACACCATGAACAATGGTACCGACTAAGTGTGTTCTCAAGCGCCACATTCCTGACATAAATTTGCTCAAAAGAACAAAATTTGGAATAAATGTCTTCTGCTGGTCCATTCCATCTATTATAATGGACATGTATTTGTTTGGCTCCTTTCTACTCTTAGCACAATGTTTGTAATACTTTCTTCTCTCTTGGCTGAAAAGATAAAAAGAACATTGATATAACTGATGTTATTAATAAAAGATCCTCCAAATTGTCCTCTGCATTCAAAATATTACAAGATTCCTATTTCAAAGACTCTTAACACCAACAAAAGTCAACTAATAAAAAATCTTGTTAATGTGCACATTTGTGTGTTCTAATTATTTATTAGCTTCATGAAATTCTGTTGCATTGTTTTAGATTAGATGCAATTGTATCACTATTACCATTTGGGGCAAAATATAAGTTCAATGGGGCATAACTCATAGAAAATAATCGAATCATAAATCAAAAGCTTCGATCAATTGAACTACATACTCATTAACAACAAAGTTTTATAATTTATTAAAATCATGCTGTGTGCCATCAGACCTGTTTATTTGTTTATTGAGAACTTTATATTTTATATGGTATTGATCTGAATGCCTTTTTAAACAGAGTTTTATTGTTTGCTCATATATAATGTGCTGTAAGAATATTGTCTTAGAGGGAGGCCGTAATTTTAGTGAATGTCCTGTGAAACTAGTATTTCATAGTTGTATTTTGTTCCTTGTTTGGTATATAAACCTGGCCATTGGTTTTCTTGTCTGAATATTTTTCATACTGGTAATTTTCAGCTTACTTTGCAGTGCTGGCTAAGGATCCATGTTGAAGGCTGTACATTAACCTTTAAAGGCTTACATCAACAACATTTTTGGTCTTGGATGGAAAAGTTGTCTCATTGACAATCATACATCATCTTATTTTCACATAACCATGCAGAGATCATAGAATACCTTTGTTTGTCCAGATGTTGTCTCCTCTGATGAAAAAGTTTTTTTCGTGTTTCTTTAGATTTTGTTTCGGCTATTTCCATCTTTAATTTTATACAAACATCACACTTGGAAAATCTTGAAGCCTTAAAATAAAAGGATAGACATTTACACATCAACATTTAAAGTGTTATAATTTTTCAAAGCTGCACATATACATTTATATTTATATTTTATATATATATAATAACCATACATTGTCTCAAAATATAAAATTTATTTGTACAAAAAAACTACATGCAAGGCTTAGAAACTCGAAGAAAGCATGTCTGTGGACATTTTGAAATTGTCAGAATTTGAGGCAGGCGACATCAAAATTGCTCAAAACCTGTATTCTATATTGACCTCATAATGTCATATTCTAAGGCCACACATTGTCAAGGTCACAAAGTTTAACAAGGTGATATACTACAGCCAAAAGAATTGGGATAACATTTACCAGATGATATAACAATTTTTGTATGTTGAATTTTTGAATTCCCCTATAAATAGTAACCCATCCATACAGGTTAAAATTGACAACAATTTTACAATACATACATGTAAATGCATGTTATTTGTTCCCTGTCTTATACAATATTGAAACTTAACAGTTGTGCAAACAATACTTACTGCTGGTATTTTTATGTGACTACAATATTTTCTCCATAAAATAGAAATGAAGTAGTTCTCTGTTACCACCTTGACACCTTGGTCATGAAGTTCCTCCGACATTATTTCAAAAACTGATTTTTTAGTAAGGCAAGGTGGCAAATCCAGGTGGCATGAGTCAGGGTGTTTTTCAGCATAGAGCCTAGCATATTCTTCTAACCATGTTAAGCAGTTCCAGGCCTCTATGCCGAAAGACCCACTTTGCTTTCCTTTCACTGGCATAACTTTTTCATTATCTATAAACATAAATAAGAACAAATTAAGAATTTCATGAAGTTATACATTACTTTTATAAATTGTTACTTGGATGGAGAGTTGTCTCATTGGCACTCATACCACATCTTCCTATATCTATGTATAAATGACTAAACTCATTTTTTTCTTGAGGTTTTTTATTTGTAAATCTGGTTGATTAACTCACAAACTGAATAAATGTTCAAAGAAGCTTTTAAAAAATTTATTCCTTATAGTTCTAGATCTGGACTTAATACTCGTAGATTATTTATTAAAAAACTAAATGGTTAAAAAATGAAAATATGATCCATATCAAGAAAATTACATTTAATTTAATTCAATGCCATATTGGTATTTTATTGCCAATTAGGTATTTTAAAAATTATTTAACTTAATTTTGCATAATTATTAGTTACTGCATTCAACGTTTATTACTTTTAAAACGTGCTCTTATACTGTAAAATGTTGATGATGGTACTCCCAGTACTGCCAACCATGCTGTTAAACAAACAGAGCTTGTACCAATTATAAATTTGAAGGTAAGATCACCATCATGGTAGCTAAAAAGTAGAAATAAATAAATATCAGAAAAAGTACTCCTGCATATGCTATAAGGCAAAGTGGAAAGAGTGCTAAAATACCCATATGTATTTATAGATATGTCAACAAGAATCAAAAAGTTGTCCTTGGTCTAATTTAAAATCTGGTAATGTTTAGGAAAATTCAGGTTCAAATTGTATATGAAAGCAATATAGTTTTTTATAAATATTTACTAAAGTTTAAATGAAATTTGAAAACTTGACATATTTGTTTCAAAGCGAAGTGTAGTACTTGTATATGTTGTATACTCTACAGGTAATCTAGTATAAGACAGAGAAACTATAAAAGGACAAGGTTCATAAAGGGCACATTATGGCCTAAATTTCAAATTTATCAAATAACAAATAAATAGAACACAATTTGGTTTATAAATGAACCATTTTCAAAAGCCTTAAATTTAGGTAAAAACATTTTTTCAATGATTTTACTTAAGTTAATACACTACAAAATTATGCTTATTTTGAAAATATTGATGATTTTGAACATTTTTCAAACCTAAAAGCTTCAAGAAACTTTGACCTCCACTTTTGGTATCTGTAACTAAGTTGCTATTGCTTTACATTTGAATAACAATCATGTATAATTGCAGCTTCTAAGACAATCAAATCACAACTTATTTATATATCTTTATCATTTAGTACCTGTAATGAGACCAAAGCCAATCTAGAATCCATTGACTTCTCTCTGATGTAGTCAGTGAACAAAAATTTTCTTGGAGTGAAAAAACAGTTTCCACACTAATTGTTCCAAGGCACAGCAATACACAACAAAAAAAACTTTTGTATTTCATGGCTGAGAGCATCTGCGTTTTTCCTGAAATGAAACATTAACATAATGAAATGATAGTAGAATAAAAAAGTACATGGGTATTCTGTTTAAAGTTATCAAATATTACGCTTATTAAATACAAGAGTGCACACGCTGAAATGTCTCGCCTTCTTTACTAATCCTTGATATTATGTTGATAGTCTTAAATATAAAGCTTTATTGCAACTGTCACATAAACTTAACATTAACCAAGAAAACTAAACATTGACCAATGAACCATGAAAATGAGGTCAAGGTCAGATGAACCATGCCTAGCAGACATGTACAGCTAACAATTCTTCCATATAACAAATATAGTTGACCTATTGCTTATAGTTTAAGAAAAACAGGCCAAAACACAAAAACTTAACACTGAGCAATGAGCTGTGAACATGAGGTCAAGATTAAATAAAACCTGCACGACTGACATATAGATCATAAAATGTTTCCATACACCAAATATAGTTGACCTATTGCATATAGTATTAGAAAAAAAGACCAAAACTCAAAAACTTAACTTTGACCACTGAACCATGAAAATGAGGTCAAGGTCAGATGACACCTACCAGCTAGACATGTACACCTTACAATCATTCCATACACCAAATATAGTAGACCTATTGCATACAGTATAAGAAAAACAGACCAAAACACAAAAACTTAACTATAACCAGTGAACCATGAAAATGAGGTCATGGTCAGATGACACCTGCCAGTTGGACATGTACACCTTACAGTCCTTCCATACACCGAATTTATTTGCCCTATTGCTTATAGTATCTGAGATATGGACTTGACCACCAAAACTTAACCTTGTTCGATGATCCATGAAATGAGGTCGAGGTCAAGTGAAAACTGTCTGACAGGCATGAGGACCTTGCAAGGTACGCACATACCAAATATAGTTATCCTATTACTTATAATAAGAGAGAATTTAACATTACAAAAAATCTTTATTTTTTTTTCAAGTAGTCACTGAACCATGAAAATGAGGTCAAGGACATTGGACATGTGACTGACGGAAACTTCCTAACATGAGGCATCTATATACAAAGTATGAACTATCCAAGTCTTCCACCTTCTAAAATATAAATAGCTTTTAAGAAGTTACCTAACGCAGCTGCCGCACTATCCCTATGTTGAGCTTTCTGCGACAAAAGTCACAGGCTCGACCTCATAAAAAACTGCATTTTATTCTGTTCTAATTTTAGCCATGGTGGCCATGTTTTTGACGAAATGGTTCTGTAGTTTCAGAGGAGAAGATCTTTGAAATAGTTTAAGATGATGACGACGGACTATAAGGGAAGCCAAGTGATGCATAAGCTCACATTTCCTCCACCCCCCCCCCCCCCCCCCAACTTCCCCCCCGAAAAAAAAATTATGAAAATTTGAAATAAAATATTTTTAAAAAATGTTGTACGATTCAAGAGATCCTTACACTAATACACAAGTTATGCTTGTTTTTGGCCCTTTTTTGCCCCTAGTTCCCTTATGGTTTGGGCAATTATCCCCCAAATAAATCCCAACCTTCTACTTAAGGAATAACTACTGTAGTTGAAGAGTTGCCACCGTCAATTGACGATTTGACGGTCGCAAATACAGTTTGACGGTGGCAACTCTTCAACTACAGTACTGTTATTCCGATTCTAATGCATTAAAAAAAGAAATAATACGTTAGAGCTTGAAAAAATGTATACATTTGATATACAAAAAAATTACGCGAATCTTCATGAATGATTTTGGCCCACATTTTTTTGCAGTCATATAAAAACTACAAGTAATTTGTTTGATCTGTCTGTAAAGTTATCTACAAACAGGAAGACTATGTGTCTTATAGAGCCCTAAAATGTTCACTTATAATTTAATCCAATTCAAGATGATTTATAATGTTTGTTTAGTCATCTCAGAGTAGAGTGGGAGGAGAGTGAAGAAAATATTTGTATTAATTAGTATTAAAGTAACAAACTATGGCAAGCTGTTTTCTACTTATTCTAACTTCACGATGTGTAATAAACTTTACAAGATATCTCATATAGTTTATAAGATATCTTATATAGTTTATGAGATATCTTATATACTTTATAAGGTATCTTTATCTAACAAAGTAAATATAAGATATCTTCTAAAGTTTATAAGATATATTATATATTATATGAGAAATCTTGAAGTTTGAATAAGTAGTAAAACAGCTTGCCATAGTATACACCAATTTTACCCTTTTGAGCTGTGTAATTTTGATCAAATTCCACACTGACATCTTCAGAAAAGACACTGGATACCATTTCATCTATAAATGAAGGTTGACATATGTATTATTAATTAAGATGCAAAGATTTAATAAAAATATTTAAATTCAAATCTCAAGATACATCTTGTTCAGATTGTCAATTTGTTTGTAAATGCAACTTCATTATCCTAAATACCAAAATTAATAAATTATTAATGTGTGCTTAAAATATGCCATTCATAGTTTTTTTTCTGTTATTTGTAATATATTTTTTTTTCTTTTAAGTCTAAAAACAAAATCATCTTTCAAGGGCAATATCTTGTGCACTAGTTTGTCAATCCTACCTTGATTAACATTTTTGCTCTTTTTATATATATATATATATATATATATCTATAATACAGCCTTCACGCTTAACTTTTGAGTCCACAAGCCAGAAGCTCAATTTTTGGAAAGAGTTGAATTTAAGAAGCCCAAAAGCAATTTTACAAGCCAATGCTGTAGGACTTGTGGTTAAGCGTGAAGACTGATAATAATAAGACAACTAATTGAAACTACAAAAATACCTGGAAAACATTATTATCCTTCCTTGATTAACATTTTTGCTAATTACAACTTCTCTCTATTGATAATAATATTCAAGACAATAGTGTGAAACTACAAAATTACCTAGAAAACTTTATATTTCTTTGAAAGTTAACAAACATGATGAACAAAATATGTAAAACTACATAAAGGGCAATAACTCCTTAAGGGGTCAAATGACAATTTTGGCTTATTTATTAATAAGTGTCATTTGCAATGTGTAATAGCAAAATTGTAGCATTTTATGTAGATCCCGCCTAAATAACGAGACAGTTATCTCCATATATGAAATATACATACTAGTAAAATAAAATCATTTTTGCATGTTACCTTCACTATCTGGCTTGTCATCTGTGTAAACATCATCTTCACTCCAGTCCATTTCTGCTTTAAAAGAAAATATTTTGAAAATAATCAAATTTAGATACATTAAAAAGAAAAAAAAAAACAACATCAAAGATTTAAACAAAACTATCTCATTCTACCAATTATACATCAAACATCAACTTATTTTGGATACCACCTAATGTGAAAAAGTACATTTTTCACTGAGTAATTAATTCTTTTAAAAAATAAACTGTAAAATCTTCATAATTATGATAATTGTGATATAAAACTTACGAAAATATATTGATCTTTTCTCAATATCATCTTGACAGGGTATCTCTGAATTCTGCTCCATTTTCAAATTTTTCAACCTAAAATGATAAAATGGTAAATTTTCTAGATGCACAGTTATTTTAAGTAAATTTTGGGATGACGTAAATTTCAACAAAAGGATCCTCATGAATAAAGTACCCCTGCATTTATACAAAAATCTATTCGAAAGATAAAAAATAATTACTGACCCCTAACATTTTGCCTTCATTGAGTGAAATTACAAACCATTGATAAATTTTATGTATCATACAAAATTAATTTCAGCAGCATATAAATCTGTGTTTAAAGCCGTTCTTAATCTGATCGTTTTAGGGTGAATGGTTTGTGGACATGTCCATTTGACACCCTATTTATAAATTATACCTACATTTTTTTAGGATTGTACTTCATGCACTTGTGACTACATGTAACTTAGAAAAATTGATTACCAATTTTCTAAATTTCAAATGCACTTGCATTTACCAAAGTTTAGATTAATTTGATGTATGAAAAAATGCCTTTGATACTTTTGTTATTTTTACTTAAAAATGCCCCCCCCCCCCCCCTCTATTTTTTAAATCAGATTTTTTTTTTTGACATATCGATTTGATACCTTTTAAATTTTATTTGTTACCCACTAGAACTATTGTACTAGCTAAATAGTATCAACGATTCTGTAAACTTCAAATGCACTGGCAGTGTGAGGTATTTCCGATATTTGCTATTACAAAAACCAAACAGGCAAACTGCAACAAAATCTTTTGATTTGGATATAAAAGGGAAGAAACTGTCGAAATGATATATAAATATGTATATTGGATTATAAAAACCCTCTAGTTTATCTCTGGGAACAGTATATCTAACTATTTATATATATCTTCCTGTTTATCTTCAAATTATCAAAAATTGTATATTTCTTTTGCGTCTCTAGAAACTTACTTAACCGTTATCGTCTGTTGTAAACATACATCATTTCGAACTTTCTCATGACTTTCCCGAGCCATGAACGTAAAAAAACAAAAAGTACCGAACGACCGTTTAGTCTGGTATCCCAAAATACTGCTAAAAACCAGGCTGTTTGACCTTTCACCTTGCATACGTCAATTCGGACTACATCGTTTTTTTCTAATATGCGTATGTAAAACCTAAACTTCCGAAAGACAACGCGAAACGGAACGTTCAACTTTCAAATTCGTCTGTCTGAGAGTTTGACAGAATGGCTTGGTGCTTAGACAAGAACAAGGACGAGAAGAAAATCACATTGTTGATTAATGGAAGACAGGCCGTCCAGTCAAACGGGGAAGATTTTCCGGCAGTAAATTCAATAAAACCAGGAAGGAATGCTGATGAAATCTGGGTACATATTTTAATTTTTATAAATGTTAAAAGAGACATCAGCGTCAAAATGAAAAATACAAAATACCCTTTTATCTAATATGCACCATACAAGTCCTGTTTTTTAAAGCAATGAAGGTCTCAGTAAGAACCTTCTTTTACTTTTGTGTAAACGTTTATAGATATAAGAATATTTGCCGGCGCCGTCAAAAAAGAAAATTTGCAATTTAAAATTTCAAGCCAAAAGCATTTGAAAAAAAAATGCATTGGGGCATAAAAAAAGGGGTCCATGCCAAAAAGTGTGTCTGTGTACAAAATTGGTGTGGACTTCCAAGATTTTAGAAAAAAAAGGGGGGGGGAGGGTCCAAACATTTCCTGGCATAGAATTTATAGATTAGTGATACTAGAATAAGATTACTATGGACAAACATCAAATGAAAATCAAAAAAGAATAATGAATAACATTTTACCATGATGATGAGATAAAAATACATGATTTTCAAATTACAATGTTTTCTGAAATTATTTAACCTCACAAAGCAAAAACTTAACACAAGTGTACTTTACTGATTGGTATAAAGAATCCTTGTTTCCTGGTAGCAAAATAAGAAAAAACACAATTGAACATTTGATACAAATGCAGTTTATTTTGAATCCAATATTAAACATGTGTTGTAAATTAAAATGTTTAAAAAAAAAAAACAGATGAGACCATCAACAACATTTAATTGTGATTTTTTTTATATATATTTCAGATAGCATTTACAGGCGTTGAAAATGGCAGGAGACTTTTGAGGAGCCTTTTCTCTGCAAAAAATGATTTTTCAAATATGCTAAACTTGGAAAGCAACACATTATTCATCACAAGCGTGTATGATGTAAGTGAATTTTAACAGAAGTATAAAAACTATATTTATTAGTCCCCTACATACGAAGTAACGTTGAAGGAGACTTTATGTTGGCACTCTGTCCATCAGTCAGTCCGTCTGTCTGTCCGGCAAATCAGCTTTCCACACTTTTTTTTTGTCATGGGGATGATGCTTGAAGATATTGGTTTGAAATTTGGTATATAGTATAAACATGACAAGTTACAGATCAAGTTCTAATTTTGTTCCGGTCTGATGAGTTTTTGCAGAGTTATGGCCTTTGGACTTAGAAAAATCACATAAGTAATATGTTTTCCACACTTTTTTTCGTCATGCTTGATGATATTGACTTCATATTTGCCATATAGTTTAACCATGACAAGTTATAGATCAACTTTGAATTTGTTCTGGTCTGAAGATTTTTTGCAGAGTTATGGTCCTTGTACTTAGAAAGTTCACTCAAATAATTATTATTCCGCATCTTTTTTTAATGATTAAAGATATTGACTTGAAATTTGGCATTTAGTTAAACATTGACAAGTTACAGATCAAGTGCGAATTGTGTTCCGGTCTGATGATTTTTTTGCAGAGTTATGGTCCTTGGACATAAAAATATCATGCAAGAAATAAATTTTCCACTATTTTTTTTGTCATATTTAAAGATTTTGATTTGATATTTGGTTTATAGTTTTACCATTACAATTTACAATTAAGTTACAGATCAAGTTTAAATTTTGTTCTAATTTGATGATATTTTGTAGAGTTATATGATCCTTAGATCAAAAAAATCTCAGAATTAATTAATTTTCTTCACTTTATTTTAGCTCACCGGGGCCCGAAGGGCCCCATGTGAGCTTATGCCATCACTTGGCGTCCTCCGTTGTCTGTCGTCTTCGTCCTAAACTATTTCAAAAATCTTCTCCTCTGAAACTACTGAGCCAAATACCTTCAAACTTTAACTAAATGTTCCTTAGGGTATCTAGTTTATAAATTTTATCCGAAGTGTTGATCCATCAACAAACATGGCCGCCATGGCTAAAAATAGAACATAGGGGTCAAATGCAGTTTTTGGCTTATTTCTCAAAAACTAAAGCTTTTAGAGCAAATCTGACATGGGATAAAATTGTTCAATTGGTCAAGATCTATCAGCTCTGAAATTTTCAGACGAATTGAACAACCCATTGTTGGGTTGCTGCCACCGAATTGGTAGTTTTAACAAAATTTTGCAGTTTTTTGTTATTATTTTGAATATTATTATAGATATATATAAACTGTAAGCAGCAATAATGTTCAGCAAAGTAAGATCTACTAAAAAGTTAACATGACCATAATTGTCAATTGACCCCTTAAGGAGTTATTGCCCTTTACAGACAATTTTACACAATTTGTTCACCAAGTTTGCTAACATTTAAAAATCTTCTCCTCTGAAACTACTGGGCCAATTACCTTCAAACTTTAACTAAATGTTCCTTAGGGTATCTTGTTTAAAAATTGTATCCGAAGTTTGTATCCATCAACAAACATGGCCGCCATGTCTAAAAATAGAACATAAGGGTCAAATGCAGTTTTTAGCTTATATCTCAAAAACTAAATCTTTTAGAGCAAATGTGATAGGGGTAAAATTGTTTAATTGGTCAAGATCTATCTGCCCTGAAATTTTCAGATGAATCGAACAACCCATTGTTGGGTTGCTGCCACCGAATTGGTAGTTTTAACAAAATTTTGCAGTTTTTTGTTATTATTTTGAATATTATTATAGATATATATAAACTGTAAGCAGCAATAATGTTCAGCAAAGTAAGATCTACAAAAAAGTTAATATGACCATAATTGTCAATTGACCCCTTAAGGAGTTATTGCCCTTTAAAGACAATTTTACACAATTTGTTCATCAAGTTTGTTAACATTTAAAAATCTTCTCCTCTGAAATACAGGTGAGCGATTCAGGCTCTTGAGAGCCTCTTGTTTATTCATGCCAGACTACCGTTATACTGATTTGATATTTGATATCTATAGTTTTAACAAAAATTAACATATCAAGTTCATATTTTGTTTTTGGGAACAATGAATTATAACTGGTAGGGGACTATGTATTGCCATACAATACTCTCAGAATGCTGGATAATATCCATGTTGGCCTGTGTCCACACTTGTTATATTATAGATTGAGTGATACATGTATAAAAATGTGTAGCATAATATATTATTAATACATGAAGCATTATTAATAAGATAAACTAATATTCATTATATGTGCATTGTGGTAAGCACACCTGCTACATGTATAACCATATTGACAACAGGATAGTTATTTACTGCAGGTAAATCTGCTTTTAGATAAAAGAGGATGGGGAATAGATGCCTAAAAAACAACTCTCGACAATATAAATGTGTTTTTGCAATATTTTTATGAAATTCTCTTTTGATCTTAATACTGGCTGATATTTTCCATTCCCAAGAAAGTTGAGTGATATGAAAAATTATTTGCTAGAGTAAAATAGCTATGAACAGATTATCAATCATGTTGAGATGACCAAATTGCAATGATAATCTATAGATATTGATACGAGTAACATAACATCAACAATGAGCAAAATCCATCACAAATAGCTAATAAATTTAAAACACTTAGAGACTCGATTCAGAACTTTAAGGTCTTTTAACAGTCAATACCAAATCATTTAATGTTCACAAGCTCATTTAGTTCCACTTATAGTTCAGTGTTATTAATTCCTAAGCAAAACATCTTTTATCTTTTTTTATATTCAGAGAGCAGGTGAATGTATTCCAGCCATACCTGGTTGTTCAAGGAAGAGAAAGGCCACAAAGCCCCTTGAAGATGTTGATGTGGAAGAAGGGAACGATGAGGGAGTTTACAAATATGTTCAGACAGTTGAAGAAAAATTTGTTGGTAATTCAATAAAATAATTTCTTACATGGTTTGATGGAAAAAAAAAATTCTATGATGATGCATGTTAAATTCAGTTAACCGCTTGAAAATTCCTGTGTTTATAAATTTTAAATGATCTTTCATAGAATCAAAAAAGGAAGGTTGGGATTGATGTTTAGGAATAATGGTGCCAAAAAAATCAGAATTATTGAAAACAAAATTATATTAGTAAAATTAATTATAATGTAAATTAGACTTAATACAAAACATGATAAATAAATTAGGATACTTTTTTATGAAAAGAATTATGTTTTAATAAGCAAATAGATAGTTTATAACCTGTTTATTGTCACTTTTTAGGAAAGTTTGAACTTGACATTTTGTCAATTTATCAAACACCAGAGCAGTTTCTATGTAGACCACTGAAGCAGCAATGGGTTGACTATCTAAAAATTAAATTATTGAACAGCAAAAGCCAAACCACCATCTTTCCATTGCTGCTAGACCCAGAGTGTGTAAGTTTTTCTTGATCATTGTTTTGAATATCATTCAGTGTATATATGGAAAATAGTTTATGACAAAAACTATAGTGAGTGTCATTATAAGCAGCCTGTTTTTACATTCAGCATTTTATTACAGTACCAGCAATATATATCTTTAATTCTAAGATGACGTCCTTCAAATGCTTTGCGTACACACCTGTGGTAAATTATGAATATATTGTTTGGGTTGTTCTGATCTTACTCCCACCTCATATGCTTTTTTATGAATGAGCTACCCGACGTCATAGAACTATGACGTAAGAATATAAGCATTTTACTGGAAAATACACGCTTGTGAATCCGAAAAATCATCACAACTAGGAAACGTAAATAAACGATGCTAAAATGTGGTATAAGCCATTTTTTTTTATACATATAAGACATATAAGTAAATTATCATTTAAATTCATCCAAAACTATCTAAATACGTTATTGTAAATAGTTTAAGCATGTCACTAATTCAGTTTGCTCATTCTTTTTACGCCAATTTAATAGTGCCTTTATATTTGCCTCCACCTAGAGCGCTTCAATCCGGAAGAATTGCTGTATTTGTCCTATTAGAATCGAAATAATTCATGGGGGCTTGAATATATTGTGATCTTACCATGGGTTGTTCCTTTATGCTGATATTTTACCCCTTGCTATCGCTCAGGGTAAAATATTTTGCATAAAGGAGCAACCCATGGTAAAATTACAATATATTCAAGCCCACATGAATAAAAAATTTAAATATATTAGATAGAGAATAAAAAAAGCATGGCTTCAATTACCAAGTAATTCATTCAATTGAGGGGGGGAGTCAACCAGTTGTAAAACATGCTAAATTTGAAGACTTAACCTGTTGCTTAAGAACATGTTCACAATGATTGAGTATAAGATATATACAGAGCCAGACTTATATGTAAAGTAAAACAAATCAACCAAAAAAATCAAACGAAATTTAGTTTGTGAAGTTTCAAATTAAGGATGTATAATTGATTGCAATACTATTACTGATATATTAATAACTAGTTTTGAAAAGAATTCTCAATTTACAATTTTCTGTTATTGGTCAATTTATATATGAATATGAGGGTCTTTAAATTTCCTTCCTTCAATAAACAATAAACTCTGTTAATTTCATGTTTATACGTAACACACCTTTTAATCAAAAAATTTTAAAAACCTCATAATTTCAGGTCTCAAAAAAGGAAAACTTTGATGCTTCAGTATTTACCACATACAGATATTATGCTTTAGGTGGTAACCATTTTACTGGTGCACTTAGGCATCTAATTGAAAGTGGAGAAAATGTGAATTACAGGTATGTTTATTTTTATGAAATAATTTTTGTATAAAAGAAATTTTATTTCTAGATGTTAAAACAAAAACCTAACACTTGAATATGTTCAAAAATATTAAGGGGAAAAAACTCATACCAGATCTTAATCATACTCTTGATGTTCAAGTTATATTTTTAATTAGTTATAAATGCTAATCTTTTTTTTTACTGGTAGGAAGTCTAGTGTAAATATACATAGAAGAAAGTATATTTTGGTAAATTTGCAAATTTAAGGAGACACAGGCCTGCCACGCCCCAGCCCTTATTGCCCCTGGAATGTGCATAAAGAAATTTGTTTGTCATAAGGGGAGATAATTGGAATACTAGTAGTTAAAAAAAAATACATTAGAATGTATACTGTATAGTGGTACTATTTTAAGGGCAACTCCTTCTAAAGGCTGGATTGGTTTCAGTGAAACTTCATACAAGTGAAACACATAATAAGTAAAGATGTGCATGAAAAAAATAAGTTGCAATCAAATTGTTACTATGGGAGATGATTAGACTGATTTTCATGAGTTAGAGACTGGTGAGGGTTGACGTGCCAAATAACATTAAACTGTAAGATTACTATTTACCAGAAAACTTAGATATACATTACTATATATTGGAGAATGGAAAGGATCCTTATTAAATTATTTATTATCAATATGTTTTGACAACATTTTTTACAGAAAACTACAGGCTCGAGTGTATGTTGGCCTCACATCAGAAGAGGCAAGGATTGTGGGTAATTTGCATAACAAATCAAGCAGTACTGTACTGAAGCTCAATTTTCAGGTATGCAATCCAATATGAAGATACCATATGTTAATTAGAATCTTCATAAGGAATATTGACTCATAATCAAGGTAACTATTTGAATTTTCATGAGTTATCTTAGGCAAAGGGAGTAATAGGTTTTTGAGCTCATACCCCAGTGAAGCATGGATAACAATTATTCTATACTATATTGGAGTAAATCTTTCAATAAAAAAAATAAGATGTCGTATAATTGTCTATGTGACAACTCTCCATGCACCAATAACATTGTCATTGAAGTAAACCAATTATAGGTTACACTGAACAGTATAACTATGTTGGTTTTATATATTTTACAAATTAAAGAAAAATTTACACTGCACAAAAAATATTGATATTGGTTTACAGTTCAACCTTATTATACATATTTAGCTCAGCTTTCTTCCTAAATATTGCTTTTGTCCCTAAACTAAAATGAAATTTTCATCATTGTATATATTTGTAAATTTTCTTTAGATAACATAAATAAGATTTCTCTTAAAATCTGTAATAGGATAAAGTATTTCAAGCAAGACAGATAAGAAAAGAGACTGGGGATAGTAATCTCCGGAAGAAACTGGAAGAAGCTTTATGCTGTCTTGGAAATGAGGTAATGTTTTAGCCTTTCTACCTATTTTTATAAAATTTCACAAAAAGCAATACAATTGCTGGTTCTGGTAATGTTTATCCTTATATTTGAATTAAATAACATCCATTTTTATATAGAAAAAATATTTTAACTTATTTACCGGGTTTGTAATAACATGAGCAACACGATGGGTGCCACATGTGGAGCAGGATCTGCTTACCCTTCTGGAGCACCTGAGATCACCCCCAGTTTTTGGTAGGGTTCGTGCAGTCTGCCAAACTGTTTTAGGGTTTGTCTGACCGAAAGAGAGATTTGAACTTTTCTACTTTATATTCAACCAAAAAATCTTAAAATTTCTGTCTGACCGAATGATTTTTTGTCTGACATTTTGTCGGTCAGACAGAGTTTGGTATACACTGTTCGTGTTGCTTATTCTTAAGTTTTCTATGTTGTGTCATGTGTACTATTATTTGTCTGTTTGTCTTTTTCATTTTTAGCCATGGCGTTGTCAGTTTATTTTCGATCTACGAGTTTGACTGTCCCTTTGGTATCTTTCGCCTCTCTTTTAAAGTGGATTTTACCCAGTCTGAATTTTGTCATTGTTTACCTTTTTATCGGAGTGAATGTTTAAAATAAAAATGATGTGTTTTCCACTGTGTTGGTGATTTATGTTAGATAAGTCTTTGTTCTTTTTTTTTAAATTCCACCACTAAGGGGAGATAATTTATTTTTTTATCAATTATAATTTATATTCTTTTTCACATAAGTTCATTAACTCCATTTGATTTCTTTTATTATTCTTTCTCATCGAGACATTTCTGGAGATTAAAGACTTTAGTGTTTTCTTCAGGAATTTATTTAAATGTCAGTTTTTCTTTATCATTGTCAGCTTTGTTAAAATGGACACTACTACGGGGCGTTTTTAATGACCTTGACTGGCTATTAAGCCCTTGCTCTGTCAGCAAAATGTACAGAAATGGACTACTACTATAGGGGGGGGGGGGGGGGGGCGGGGGTGGGGGAGTTAAACGACATTGACTGGCCCTTGCACTGCCTGTATTCACAGAAATGGACTATTACTGTAGGGACGGTTATTACAGACCTATTATTTACACAATCAGAAAAAAAAAAAAAAACAATTGTGCGGTATTTTATATTTTTTACACTGCAAAACAAAAAGATCAATTTCTTAATATGATTAAATGTCTGTATAAATTGATTAAAAATTGTTAAATCTTATAGTTTTTCAAATTTAGTAATGATCAAGATTAAATGAAATAAGTGGCATTAAAAATTAAATAATGAAGATTTTCAAGGAAGACAACAAATTTTGACTAGCTAAAATTGGAACATATAACAAGGAGATGTCACTCTTAGTTACACAAGACTCAATGAAGAAATAATGAATACCGAAATTGTTGTTCATGTAGCTCTGGTTATCTGAACTGTCAATAAATCAACCAGTTGTCAATCTTTATGTTTGGTACTACTAGCTATCAAATGCCCATGGCAAAGTATATTATTTTAAACAAAAATTATCACCTACTCAGAAAAATGCACGAGCTATTTGGTTTTGATGTCTTCTAATTTGTGTTTAAGTACATAATAATTCACTCTTTTAAACATTATTTGCCTCTTCAAACTTATAATATTCTTATTCGTTTATCATGTGTTTAATATTATATCACAAGTTCCAGTTAAGATTTGACCTAACTTTAGTCAGGTAGAATAACTAAATGTTTTTTATACCCCCCAAAAAAATGTTTTTGTTTCACCCTGTCCGTCTTTCGGTCTGAATCTGTCAGTCCATATGTTTGTAAGCCCAACTACTCCTAAACGAATCGATCAATATTTATGAAACTTTGCACAGTTGTATCATACAACCTGAGAATGTGCATGAAAGAGGAAATTGCTGGTCGGAATTTTTCCAAGGCAGATAATTGAAATTAGTAAGTTTTAATATAAGCAATATGTGGCTTCAGGTCTGGTAAGAACAACTCCTAAATGGATGGATCAATATTGATGGAATTTTACAGTTGTAGCACACAACCTGAGGATTTGCATGAAGGAGGATATTTCTTGTTTGGATTTGTTTCAAGGGAATTAATTGAACTTTCTTAGTTTTGATATAGCAATATGTGACAACAGGTTTCTTAAGTGCAACTCCTGGATAAATATTGATGAAACTTTATGCAGTTGCAGTACATGACCTTAGAATATATGCATGAAAGAAGATAATCCTGGTCAGAATCTTTTCAAGGTAGATAATTGTACTTATTAGTTTAAATGCCCTTAAGCCTAAAATTAATGTAGTGTAAATTAATTTTTCAGATGTCAAAAGATTCAATGTCAACCGTCCTAAGTGTTGCAAGGTACACAGATGAGAATTACCAAATGTTCCTTCAAATAGTGCACTCATTTGAATTTGAAGAAGGTCTTGAGAAGAGTTTACCACAAAATGTAATTAATTTAAAATCAAATTAAAGAATAATTAAGGGGACAACCATTTGATATTTTGGAGGGGGGGGCATCCATTTTATATTCTGTGGGGGAGGTGGTGCATGGGGGCAGGAGGATTTTGAAAATAGATAAATTTTCCTGGCAATAGCTGAAAATAGATATCTCTGCCAGCCCAAGTCAGGAAACAAATAAATAATCTGTTCTCAGTACTACAGGAAAACACACGATTCAGTTGTAAAGGAGATTGAAAATAAATGGTTGTGCTGCAAATTTCACAGTTCATTGTACTTTAAAGTTTTGAAATATAAAAACAGTATATTTTCAAGTTTTTTGTCAATTAGGTAGTTTATGATGAAATTGAAGTCACATCATCTTGGAAAATAGTGCACATATTCATATGTAATGTGATCTAATTGAATTGTATGCAAATTAGAGATTGATCCCAATTTATGGTTTATAATGAACATGGAAAGTGATAGTGCTGGTACATTTTCTTGTTTATTACATCATTTTGATATGCTACCCCAAGTCAAAGTGGACAGCAGTTCTTTAGCAGTTTATTAGCATTCACAGTTCTTACTTGACAGCTGTTCTTTAGCAGTTCATTAGCATTCACAGTTGCCAAATTCAAGGCAATAGTTAATTTTCATATAGGCATTCCAATAGCATTCCATAGCAGTTTCTTAGCAGTTTATTTAGCTTTATTATTTAATTACCAATTACATTATTACATTACATTATTTAGCAGTTATTTTTGACGAAAAATTTAAATGAGATACTCAAAAACTGCTTTCTTCTCTGAATATTCATGAGAACTGCTATAATAACAGCTATCAATAATGAATATTCATAGAAACTGTTAAGTTGTACATCCTAATATGGTTTTCTTAACTGCTAATAACTGCTATGGAATGCTATCAGATCTGTCAAAAGTTGGAATACAAAGGTACGATAAATAAACTGTGTACAAGATATGAATGCAAAAATAAAATTCTAATTTTACTGTTAGTCTTGTTGAAATTTCAAAAATACATGTTATATTTGTAATTTGAGCAGTAACTGCAATCAAATTACTCTATTTCAATCCAATAACCGACTTGTTAAGGGGGTGTAAACATGTTTTTTTGAGTACCGGTACTTTACCTGGCCTTAGAATAGACCCCTTATTAATTATGGAAGTGGCTGAATAAGAAGAACAGTTAAGAATGCACTTTAAATATCAGTGCTTTTAATAAGCAACTTATTCAATAAGAGTGGTTACTAGATTATAATAACTATTAATTACCTTGACTAAGTGATTTTCAGATTAAAAGTTATTTCTTTTTTATTATTATTTAATTACCAAATGTACTACTAATTTCTCTCTATATACAATATACAAATGATATATATTTTTTATGTGGACCAAAAGACAACAGTTATCTCCTCTTTCTCTTTTGGATTTAAATAAAAGAAATCTTAATACATGTAATTTATTATGTTTCCACTTTCTGAATCAAACCTAAGTAACATATATTAACTTCATTAAATGGATTGTTTGTTCAATATTAACCAATCAGCTATTTGCGGCCTAGGTTTCCCTAAAATTCCCTCCCCCTTTTTTCAACTCTTGAATATGATTCATTTTTCGTTTTTTTACAAAATTTTATTAAAATATTCATATATTTATTTTCATAAATAACATCTTGCACTGTAAGTATATGCTAGTATTTTATCACAATCCTGTAAACATCAGATATTCTATTTGAATAAACAACTATCCCCCTTTTTTGGGGCGTTCGATCTGTATGGTTTCTGTTTTCCCCTACAAAGTTATGTCAGAAAATTCACATGCATTAACTGTTACTTCAACTTACTGTACTGCAGGTGTGTGAAAGTATTCCATTCAGCCTAAACTAAACCTTATAACTGACAAAAATGTAGTTTTTCATTAGCAAGCATTTACACACAGCTTGGAGCCAAAATACACATTTGAAAATGATCGAATAATCTTCAAATAAAGGTTTACTTTCAAGCTGAAAATACAGCCAGATCCAAGCATTTTTATAACAGAGATTAAAACCAAAACTGCTATCAAACTGCTATTGAACTGCTGTCATAACTGTTGTCCAATTGACAAATTGACAGCAGTTTTAGAAGGTATAAAAACTGTTAAGATGAATGCTAAGAAATGGTGAAAAAGGGCAGTTTTTCAAACTTCTATAAGATGGACTGCTAAGAACAGCTGAAAGACTGCTAAAAATATGAAGAACTGGTAAATAACAGCTGAAAAACAGATAATGATAGCAGTTCAATTTGACTTGGGACACTTTATGTGTATTCAATATTTAAGATTGATTATAGAATTTCCATACATTGTTCCATTAAAAATCTGAAGCGAGGGTGGGTATGCCGTGTGTGTGGCTGTTCTTTTTTACTCCCTGTAAGATAAAGCTAAAACATTCTAATAAATCTGTAGCTTGCATGAATAATTTCGCTAGAAAAAATGTGCTTAATTCTTTTAATTCTCAAACCCAACATTTGCCATTTTTAATTTACATGTTTTTCTCTTAAGCTACCGTCAAATCCAAAGTTGATATTTCGTAACTAAGGAGCCGCCATGTTGACTTGCTGAAATCAGTAAATATGCGAATAATGCAATAAAATAGAAAATGAAACAACACCTACCTCAAAAATCCATTTTAATGTAATATACGAATTTCGATGGTTCACGTAACGGAAAAACCTTCAGCTTAAGTGTTTTCATTTGTATGACGCCATGTTTTGAAATGACATAAATGCGCCAAAAGCATTAATGGACTTTCGCGGAATTTTATTTATTTTGATTTTGTAGATTTCTACGAGCTCTTGTGCATTAATTCTTTTTGTTATACATCTGAATAAGAATAAAAGTTCTGTAGTCTTTTTTCAATTGCAATTTTTAAAACAATAAAATCGGCATAGCGTTTGCAAATATATTCCAATACATGTGGATTTACGAGGGAGGTATATTGTTATGTATATCTCTGAGTCTGCGCTAAGTATAGATATATCAAGAATTTTATCACAGTGTTGTTTACAAAGCAAAAGAAGCACGTCATATCAGAATATAGTAATAATTTGTACAAGGCTTAGAAACATGGAAAAAATAAAGGCTTAATTTGCACTTTTGTTCTGTTTCGAGGCAAGTGCCAATAAAATTATAAAAAAATTGGTTTAATAATCATTAGAGAAACAGATTATTACATCGTTACTCGTAAATTCTGTACATCCCTGATTACACCAAGATAACTAATATAACGGAGTCATTTTAATTTTGAAAAATTCAGTAAAAACCATTCATTTTAACATAAGAGCTGATAATGCATCCTTTATGGGTCATGAATGAAAATAACATCATAAACATTCGGAAATAATAATTATCTAGTTGTTTTACTTTTCAGTTATTTAGAATTCTTCAGGGTCTTAATAAGGAAACTGTTACACTTGCTCTACAAAAATCCAAAACAGAAGGCTTAAAAAAAGGACTGGAATGGTTGAAGATAGAAAAAAATTTATCTGTTTTAAAAACAGCATTTGTGAACCAGACAGATTCTCAAAACTGGGAATCGGCCAAATCCCTGTTTCCTCAGGAATCCTCCAGGTTGAGGGACTTTGCAGGTAATTTTATACATTTAGTACAGTACATAAGTATAAACATGTAACAGACACTTTCTGAAAGCAATAGGCATGCAATAATGTTTTATTATGAAAAATATGAAATCCAAAACATTAAAATTTGTTTTACACAAGATAATTAATCATGCAGTGAGAAAGATAAAACCTTGGTTCATCTTAGCCAACACTGTGTATATGTGGCAAAATATGTGCGGCTGTACATCAGAATTTACATCTGTAAATCCCAAAATTGGTTTCTCAGATCTCTTCCTTTAGTATTGACTCAACCAAATATTATGAAACTTAAACACAATGCTTATTACCACAAAACACATATCAACTTTGAGTTTGGGTGACATCACTTTTAACATATGCATTTAGACCGATTTTTGAGTTTCTGCCACTTAATTGGTAATTTTAAGGAAATTCTATAGGAAAATATATGCAAGTAGCTATCACATTTTGTATGAAGCGGGGAAGTGCTTCTTGCTTAAAATGTGATCGCTACTTGCATTTATTTCCAGATACATTTTCAAAAACCAGCATTCAATTCTCATATTTACAGCTTTTAGGAATAAAATACATATTTTTGTCTTCTAGTTAAGTCTTAAACCTTAAATAAACTTTAATTTAGAAAATTTAGCAAGCATTGTGAATTGCCAGATATGTCATGTTATAAAATTTAAATTAAATATTTGATAGCCTCAAAAGTATTTGTTTGAAAACACCATCTGCTCAAACCAAATTACAAATAAATGGGATTTCATTGAAATCGACCGATTCGTTATGCAAATTATGACCTTTAAGTCGAGCAATATTGTTGCACGTGCCACATATGAAGTTAAAGATAAACTGTTAACAGCAAAAATGTTGTAGATATAAAACAATATAACTTTTGTCAATTTTATGTAACTTCATACTTTGATCCTTGGTTTAAATAAAAGAAGTCTTATTTAACTTAAAGTGTTAGGCTAAGTCAGTGAATTAATTATAATGTAATAAAACAAGTTTGTTGTTTTCAAGGTAATAAGTATCTTAACTTTATATTTTTTCAGATGTAACATTAAAGAAGAAAAGTCTACCAACTGGATTTGTGGAGTTCTGTTCACAAGCTAGGGATCCATTGATGCATCCCACTCAATTTACTGTAAATTTTGATATTAAAATAAACAACAAAACATGCTCCGGAAACACAGTAGAAAGTATTATTTGTAAATATAAAAAGAAAATTCTAATTGAGTTAGAAAAAAACAAGAATAACATAATTGCAGAGCACTTTGAACAGACGTCAGTTGACTCTTTGTGTACACAATCAGATAGCACCATTGATACCCTTGACAATACTCAAGTGTCCATGTCTGACACACAAATAACACATATTCCAGAAACTCAAATGTCACTCAATCTTTCTGAGCAGTAATTGATTCATTAACTAATTTACTGGTTTTAATACCCATCAAAATTCAAAATCAAATATTAATCGCTATGTTTGTCACTCTTTTTATACGCCCGTTTAAGGGACGTATTATTTCAACTGTCCTTACATAACCATGAACATTTATTATTATTTTTTTAATTTATTGACCAAGTTTACACATCATTTATAACCTCTAGAAATATTGAGTTGAATTGTATAGAGAAGTATGCACATGCATTTAAATCCTTCATTATACCACGGCTTTAAAAAGCGGAGGTATATAGTGATGGGGAAGTCTGTCCTTCCGTCCGTCTGTCCCGTATACTTTGTATCTGCAACTCCTCCTTAACCACTTATCTGAATGATATGAAACTTTCTCAGATTCTTAATAATATAATGCCATTGTGCACCTCCTATTTTGTTTTTGTTCAAAATCATTTTTTGGGTTTCTATTTAAAAGAACATGGACTTTGCCATTGCCTAAAAATAGGGGGTACCAATGTTGTATCCGCAACTCCTCCTGAACCACTTATTATGATTTAATGAAACAAATCCCAGATTCTTGATGATATAATGCTATTGTGCACCTCCTATTTTGTTTTTGTTCAAAATCATTTTAGGGGTTTCCATTTCAAAAACATGGACTTTTCTATTGCCTAAAAATAAGGGGTACCCATGTTGTATCTGCAACTTCTAAACCACTTGTTATAATTTAATGAATCTTTCTCAGATTCTTAATGATGTAATGCCATTGTGCACCTTCTATTTTATTTTTGTTCAAAATCATTTTTGGGGTTTCTAATTGAAAAAACATGAACTTTGCCATTGCCCTTAAAATGGGGTACTCATTTTGAATCTGCAACTCCTCCTAAACCACTAATCACAATTTAATGAAACTTTCTGAGATTCTTAATCATATAATGCCATTGTGCACCTCCTGTTTGATTTTTGGTCAAATTGGTTTTTGGGGTTTCCAATACCAAAACATGAACTTTGCTAGGAGCCGGGTATAAGTTTGTGAGCTCTGATCACAGTTCCTCTAGTTTAATTTCTAAATAGTGACAATTTATGTTCAATCATTTATGATTTAAAACTATGGCAAGTTAGTACTGCAGTAACAGAGTTGCAAATTTTTCTTGGATATGTGTGACAAATATTCAGACAATTTTGTATATGCACTGTTATTGATTCTTAAAGACATGTGATTCAGTAAAGAACCCATGGTGAAACTTTCTTTAATTTTTTAATTGAAAGTCAATTTTGATGTGCACTTTTGAAATATGAAAAAATATATATCTCTAGGAATTGCATGTTTCATCTAAAACTCAAAATTTCATACTTAAATGTTTTTCTCAAAAAAATTAACAGAAGTAAATATTGTCATGGTTATCAATGGTGAGTCAATCTGTTTTTTGGTTTATAATTTTAATAGTACACATGTATAAGTGACCCATAGATATTTGTTCTCTGCACTACAGGGGCATGTCAAAAATTTGAAACAGTAATTGTTTTGTGCAATTTTGGTATAAGATTCTTGAAGTAATATAAGGTCAATAAACAATACAGATTCACTAAATTTTAATGTTGTCTACCTCAACATTCAAAATGTTGGTTTTTATCAAAAATGTTTTATTTACTAGAAACTTCAGAGTTGCAGTACATAATAAAGAGAATAACCATACATTGTCTCAAAATATAAATTTTATTTGTACTCGCCTCAAAACAGGATGAAATGCTTGGGACAGACTCGCATTCATCCTGTTTCTAAGCCTTTTACTTATAAATAAGTTTTATACTTTGAGACAATGTATGGTTATTCTATATGTCATTGTGAAGTTATTTCTGCTGTCAATAAAAAATATATGCATAACTTATATTTTTCTCGATAATTTAATATATCATGATAAAATAATATTACAAGTCTTCTGATAATAACTCTCAAATAGTTATTATTGCAAAAATACTGCATTAACTTAAAATGAATTTTAGCTTCACTGCAAGTGTATCATATGCCCTTTAATGTGATAAGCAAGCTTAATAAGTGAAAAAAAAAACTGTGATAGTTAAAGATAATGACATTTATTATCATTAAAGAGATTTTTACTTTTTTTAGAAAGTGATATATGAGTGTATCAGAGATTTTTACTTTTTTTTAGAATGTGATATACGAGTGTATCTTATGCCCTTTAATGTGATAAGCAAGGTTAATAAGTGAAAAAAAAAACTGTGATAGTTATAAATAATGACATTTATTATCATTAAAGAGATTTTTACTTTTTTTTAGAATGTGATATATGTAATGGTATGTATATATATATACATATGGATCATGGTTATTTTTGTTATAAATGGTCTAAAATTTCTATATATGTATGTTTGATAAGTTTTGCCCCAATTGTTATAAATAAAAAACAAATTGAATAGAGGTTAAAATAAAATTGATGATCTGACAATGAGTTTTGTAAAACATTCTTTCAATTTTTTACCATCAGACTTATTTAAACATTTGAAACTTGATTTCAACTGATATAAATAGTAGTTTCCTTAATTAACTTGACAAACAAATTAATAAAAGAAAGGCATTCTGAAATCAGAACCACAACTGCCATGAATTGATGTTATAACTTGCTATTCTCTTATTTTATATATTGAATGTAACAAAATTATGTTTTATTATGTAATAAAGTAAATGTCTTCTGTCTTTTTTTCTATTATCTGCCCATGTGTCATACTTTATTGCCTTAATAGGCTCAAATAAGGATAGAAATGCCTCATTACTTCCTGTTTCTGATAATTGTTCTGATAAATTTTAAGACAATGTATGGTTATTCCATATATATTTTTGACTTGGACTGTTGCAAATTGAGTAGCCAATTCTAAATGGTGGATTTCCTGAGTTATTAAAAGGTAGAATGTGAATTCTTCTCCTGCAAAATATATATCAATGAGCAATTAAAATGATTACAAAAGGAAATCATCAGTATCCTCGACTTACAATTGTATGAATTTTGAATAGATTTTTCAGAGCAGTTATTAAAATGATTCAAAACAGTATACATAAAACTGACTATAGTTTTAGAAAAACAAGTCCAAATTCCATCCAAACATGTAATTGTGCATAGAGAGTAACTGCACAAAGCCAATCGTAACATGGATAACAAATTCCTCTAAGCTGCATGTGTATAAACTGTACAAGTATTTGGTGCAACTGTAATGCACTGTTAAAGTACATACATTAAGCAAGCCTTAGTCTACATTTTATATAGGAATATATGTTTCAACATAGAACTTCAAGGGTTTGTACATGTACGAAAACATGTTTTTGCATGACTTGCTTTATTGGTTTCATATTAGTTTATTCAAAGGACTAACAATGCATACACATGGTTAGTCAACTAAGGCTGTGCATGCACAGGGTTAGTCAACTTATGCTGTGCATGCACAGGGTTAGTCCACTAAGGCTGTGCTACACAGAGTAAGTCCACTAAGACTGTGCTACACAGAGTAAGTCAACTAAGGCTGTGCATGCACAGGGTTAGTTAACTAAGTTGTACATGCACATGGATTATAAACCTTACACATACACCTTTAAAGGGAAATCACACTATTGTTTATACGCATCGGTCTCGGCGCCGCCTATAGTGTCGTGACCGTATTATGACGTCGCCGTTTAGAGTCCGTCGTAAAGGTTGCTAATTTCTAAAATGGCGGCCCGCTCAAAGGGACGTTCACTAAAGCAAGAGAAAGCAAATGACGTTTTGATTTAAGTGCAAAAAATGAAAATGCTACTCGAAACAAACAAAATGTATGGCTAAAAAATAGCCGAAAGTGGTCTTGATATGGTCTTAAATTACCTTACGATTGGGTTTAATTCAAATAAGTTACTCTCTTTAAATAAAGATATTATTATTATTATTATTATTATTATAATTGAGTTAGTATTTACATACAATACCATTTATACAATTATTTTTCTTGAAGGTTTATTAATTTCACCGAAAAATATTGTTAGATATGAGAAATATCAACATTTTTTGTTGATCTGGTCTTTATTATTTGTAGCGAAATCCGTCAGCTCAACTTTTTTTTGTAGAAAAACTTTTTTATTTACTGTAAAGTTAATATTTTCTTATATTAACATATTTATTGATCTCGCAGATTTCTTAGTTTCACGAAGAAAAAAAATATTTAAAAACAAAAGAGATATTTATAACACTTTTTGTCGATCATTTCAGTATAATCAAAGCGTACATCGGCGAATGTGAAATCCGTCCGGTCAACTTTTTTTTTTAGAAAAAAATTTTGTTTTACTATGAAGTTTAAATTTTCATATAAGATAACTATTAATCTCGCAGATTTCCTAGTTGTATGAAAAAATATTGTAAAACAAAAGAGATATTACTAGTAACACTTTTTGTCGATCAGTTCAATATTGTAAAGCGTACATCAGTGAGTGTGAAATCCGTCCGGTCAACTTTTTTTTGTTAAATATTCATAAAATATAGTCTAATATTTCTAAGGTCTTCAAATATTAAAATAATCTATCAAATAACAAAAAAGTTCTGACTATTTATATCTCATCCGGTCAATACGGGCAATTGTCCTGTCATTAGTGTAACCCAACTGTTGGCAGCGTATCGTTGCGATGCGGTATGTGGGAATATACTGGAAAAAGTAACAATATACCAAGAGTAACAGCATGTAAGCGTACAGCTTCCGGAATTTCTAGTTTTCTGTCCAACAGAGGGATGTAAATAAGAACAATGAGTTTCGATGTTCCTTTGGTGTCAAACGCCTCTCTCTCTCTCTCTCTCTCTCTCTCTCTCTCTGTTTCTTTTTTTTTTTTTGGGAAGGGGGGTATGGTGATACAAACACATGAACACGAGTGATTCGTAGAGTAATCATATTTGTTGAAATATCAAACGTTATATAAGAATAACGCCAGTTAAACATCACTGTAAAAGAAGCATACAAAATTTTACATCGGTTGCTGTCTGTCGAAATCAAAGAAAATTTAGCACCGTATTATATAGTACATTATACTCAATCTTCCTTTAATGCTTTGTACAGGCTTACATAATTTGGGGAAAAAAAAAATCATATTTTGTAGTATTTCTTCAAACTGTCAATTATAGCGAACTGTACGACCAGCAAGTTAAAAAATAAGGCCGCTAGAAGTCAGAGCAATCTGGGAATATCAAACACTATGCCTAGTTATTTTTGGACTATTGATGACCGTACTGCCTACAACAACAACAAAAATTCCACACTGTATATTTGGCTTTACAAGACTCCAACAAGAGAAATATTTAACACACACACACATGTATTTATGTAGAGTAACATGTCTTTCAGAGTGCTAATCTGTAACCATCACATTAAGGTCCGTCTTGTGAAAGAGTATTCATCTCATATAGAAACAAATTTTGTGCTGATATTCATGTAATATTTGCCACTGAAAGTTTTGCAAAAATCAAGAAAAAAACGAACAAAAAAACAAAAAAAAAACTAGTACTTCAGATGTAGGTTCGTGTTCAGATCACTCAATGTGATCACTTGCATGTCAACAAACAGTGATATAGGGAGATTGTCAGATTCCGATCATGACTGTAAAGGACAACCATTTGTTTAATACAAAGGTAGCTGATTTACTCTTGATACCTTGGTTCTTTAAAAAAAAAATGGCCAA